GCCCGCGCCCCCCGGCCCCTCTGACCCAGCCTGAGACCCACGGCCGCCCCCCCGCTGTCCCCGGAACACACGCTCCATGGAGACGCGCCGGGAGCTGAGACAGCTCAAGGGCTCCTGAAGGCCTGGAGCAGAGGACGGAGCAGAGCCGTGCAACCCCCCGTCTCTTCCCTGAGGTTCCTGGCTTAGTTCCGATAGGAAGGACGGGCCCGGCCACTGCCTGGGCTCACTCCCCAGCACCCAACTCTCAGCATCCGAGCCCGGACGCAGCCCGGATGGAGCAGCAGCACAGCCTGGCCACAAGGCGGCAGCAGCACGGAGCCTTTTGCACAGACACCCCGGTGTGAGCACCCCCAGCGCTCCGGGGGTTGCTACAGCAGCAGAGAAAGGCTCCAGCGGTCGGGAGCTGTCAGAGCCCTTCCCGGCGGCTGGAACCCTTTGGGGCACGGGGAAAGCCCGGGCAGCAGGAGGCCCACACGTACGGATCCCGGGGATGCTCTCGACGGGGATTTGCCGCACGCCCTCCTTGAAGCACGTCAGGCCCGGGTAGACCTTGCGGATCTGTGCCTGCTTCCTCTCGATCAGCTTCTTGATGATCTGCAGGGGGGCGGGCAGGGCGTCAGCTGGGGAGGCCTGGCAAGGACAGAGCCCCGCTGGGCCAGGCTGCTCCCCAGAGGCTGTCTCTGGCCAGGGGCACAGACCAGCGGGGCTGGAAGCAGCGGCTGCCCAGGGCCAGGTGGCTGGGTCAGGCCTGAGGCCGTGAGCTGTCCCGGAGGCCGGGGGCCTGGCTGGGGTGAGGGTCGGGGGGAGCCAGGCAGCCCCCCTCCCCGTGCTCACCCCCCCTCGCCCAGTCGGATACCTCCTTCTGCTTCTTGATGATGTGCGAGAGCTCGGTGTAGGGGATGCGGGGGTTGAGCTCACACTCCATCAGGGTGGCCCCCTCGTAATCCTTGATGTAGCCCAGGTAGCGGCCCTTGGGCACTTTGATGTCCTTGGAGAAGCCCTGGAAAGGAAGGGGGGGCTGTGAGAGCGAGCTCCGCCCCCGTGTGGGGGAAGGCGTGCTGGCGTAGGGACCCTCGAGGCGGGGGGGCGGGCTGGCGTAGGGACCCCCCCCGCGGGGGGGGGGGGAGGGGGGGCAGGCCCCGGG